GGTAGTTGCCCGATCTAGTGTAGAAGCAAAATTTTCAGGTATGATGTAACACCCCGTTCTAGAATTGGGTTGTTAAGATTGCATATGATATTAAGCACGGTTTCAATCACAATAATTGAATTAGAATTTACAAATAAAAATGTTTTTCTTTGCTTTTTACTTAATTGAATAAATATTGATTTCGTATATAAATAATTCAAATACATAATTGCAACTTATTTATAACGCATACATATCTTATATGTGCTAACATCATCAACCATGAAGCCCCCATAAGCTAACACCATCAACCATCTACCATCAACCATGTTCATCTAAATTTTAAATGGCAGATGCAAAATCACTTATTACACTATAAAATATTTCTTGTTCTTTCATCCCAAATTGAACATGTAAATTCCAACCATGAAATTTAGTAATCATCAAATGATTGCAACTTTATAATATCATAGGAGGTATATTTAGCCATTTTTAATCAGAGTTAAAAGTTAAAAAGAGTCTACAGAATTCAAAGACTCTAATTTTTGTCAAACCGCCTTGCAAAGTTGGAATTTGCCAAAACAAACCCCAAAAATGGATTCGGACACCCAAAAATCTTAAGATGGACTACCCATATTGCTGGAAACTCACTAGAACAATTTCGATTATTAAAAATTCACATGAAAATGTACCTGAAACTTCAGATAAGCATATCTCCTTCATCTGACCTCCATTTAAGGCAAGTGACCAATCAAAATGATCGTCTCAATGAGTAGAACAAAGCTCAATAGGTTTCACTTCCTGAAATTTTTAAGATCTGGACAGAAAAGTTGTTGCTGTAGAATCTTCAAACTCATATCCCAGCAAATCCTTCCGTCAAATCACGAAAATGATTTAAAATCTGACTTCTTCTCGATGAGATCTTTGAATAGACACCTTACTCGCTCAAATCCAACACACGAAGCTAATATTTCAAAATTGTTGGAGATTACGAGTTTGAGAGATAAGGGTTTAGAGGTGCTTGAAATTTTATACCGAAAGACATCAAGTTTGGAATGCTCAACAGTGTTACCTCCAACCTTAGGAAACCCTAGAGATAATGTAAGCTATTAGGCTCCGGCCTATATGAATCCAAATAACCATGCTCTCACTTATTGTGCTTGTATGTAAACATACTGTTGTATTATATAATTAATATATCCAGCGATGATGATAGTTAATGTGGCAGGAAAGTGAGTAACACAAACTCATTAGTGATAAAGTATGAAAAGGTTTTACCACCAAATAAGTGGAACAACTCTGACAATCACCATGCCATGAAGCCTCTTGTATGTATAAATATTTTGTGGAAATGCTGCTGGTGTATGAAATGTTCTTAGTTCTATTTTTGTATCAATTTTCGATTGAGCCGGTGGTTTATTTCTTTTTCTTCCCTAACATGTTTCGAAGGTTTAGAACCCTCTTTCAATTTCAAATTTTTTTTTGCTTGGTCCGACACATGGAAAGGTGATAAAGTGGGCTTAATTGGTTTTGAAGATGTGCATGTACTTTATAAGACTTGGAATTTGGATATCCTTGTAATATAAAACCTTCACACCATCTTCAAATCAAAGTGATTTTTCAAGATTCCCTTTCCTTTATATTCAAGCATTGAACTTCTCTCTTAAAGTAGCCTTCTGTAGGCCATGAACATAAAAGAGGGAAAAATTAAAATTTTTGTGCAGAAGAAGCAACCTTTGCCCACACTCAATCATGTGCAACTCACGAATCATGCAATAGACATGTTAAGGGTTTAAAGTTGATACCTTTATTCAGATAACTATTCCTGATTAGATGTGTTCTTGATCAATTCTTCATACTTGAAGAACACAAGTCCTCCGATGGAAATTCACACCACCTTATTGTCTCGTAAGAGAAGAACGTTTCTTCGAATGCCAATGTCCTTCAATGGTATTTCTAGACTAAAGAGAAGAACAGAGAGTGGGTGATACGCCACACTGATGTGTGTTGGCTAGAGTTTCAGTGGAGAAAATTAGAAAAGAAGAGTTATATAAAACTAAGGAAGAAGATGGACTATATATATATATATATATAGCGCCTCATTAACCTAAGATTAGGTCAAATCAGCGCCCTCATCAAATCCCAATTTTATTGGGTAATTTCATTCATTTTATCCAATCAATCCAATTGATTGGTTTTTTCAATTTCAGAAATTAATTTAATTAATTGGTTTCCTAAATTTTGGTCAATTAATTCAATTGATTTGTTTCCCAAATTTCAGCCAATTAATTTAATTAACTGATTTCCTTAATTTTGGTCAATCAATCGAATTGATTTGTTTCTCCAATTTTAGCCAATTAATTTAATTAATTGATTTTCTTAATTTTGGTCAATCAATCTAATTGATTGGTTTCCTTTATTTTCTCCATCTTCATTAAACCTAATTTAATGATTATACTTAAATTCAAAATTCAAATTCAAATTTAAATTAGAATTTAAATTAAATTTATTTAAATTCAAATTTAAATTTGAAATTTGAAATTAGAATTCAAATTATTTACATTCAAATTTCAAATTCGAAATTTAAGATTAGAATTCAAATTAATTAGGTTATATCATGGATCAAGTCCAACTTGGCCCATGATGCCACTTACTCTCTCTTGGCCCAATACGTGGGCTTTTCCAACTTAGGCCCATTATATCTTATTGGGTCCAAACCATATATGCTAGAATTGAAAACAACTTAAGGTGTTTATGTGCGACCCATCCGGCCAACATAGCCACTGACATAAATGGGCTTTGGCCCATTAGGCCCAATCCAACTAATGACAACACAGAGCACTAGCAATGTTTTGTTGTCCCAGAGCTAGTTGAGTTCATCGAATGATCAACCTGTTATACCTATTTGGTTACCGTGTGAATTATCCTTTCGTCTCGGTTATCCGTCCCATTGACCTCGGTCAAGGAAAAAATATCAACCCCTGCGGTCTAGGATTAGCTTTTGCCGAAACAGGGAATCTTCATTTACGGACTCTAAAGAGCAGGCCATCTCATGACTCCTTTACTATGCATAGACTCTCGAGTCCCGTAAATGTCATCCCGATTTCATCGTTCTACGGATAACCTAATCTCTCACAGAGATTGACGAATTCCTTTAGCTTGTCATACTAGCCTTGAGTCCTTAGGGCATGCCCAAGAGTATACCTACGAGTCTCCATGTTTAAGGCAGACAATGTATACAATCAAAGCAAGCCTTCCAGAGCACAGGTCTATATGACAACGTACGACACATTACCTATTGATATTATCTGTGAGATTTCCTTGTAGTGTCTCTTTGTGGGTCAGTTCAGTGCGAGCTATTCTCTAATAGGTCCACCCACGAGTCAGCTAAGACATCTCCATGTCTGTAGCTCACGAGGACTCTACATTGCATCTCCATGCAAGTAGCTGAGTCATGCTAGTCTTACACGAGATCACCAATGCCCATTATCGGTATCTCTAGACTAGGAACATATTTTTGACATTGGAAGTGTGGTATCATTAAGCCCTCATGATCGTGATCCCTATCACAGATCCTCAATGTGACACATGTTCCATTCCAAGGGCTTTATCTAGTTACTCATATTCAATATTTGAAACAAGATAAAGAATACGTTTATTCATAAAATTTATTCATAACAAATAAAGAAGTATATGGATCCATCTGACTCTCAGATTGTTTCTAGAACACTTATGTACTAACACTTTCTCTATCAAAAAAGGAAGAAAAAAAAACTTCTTGATTTGTCAAATATATCCTAGTTGAGCCATATTCTTGAAAGTTTCAAACAAAAAATTACATTAATCAAGTTTACTACTTCAAAGTTTCTTAGAACTACGTACAATTTTATTTCTTATAAGTTTCTCGTAAACTGCACCAAGCTAACTACAACACTAAGTGTCACTTAGGAAATAGAATCTATAATTTTACTCTGACACCAAATGTTTACCACTAAACCAATAGTTATAATTAATCTTAATAGTGCAACTTCGCTTAAATTTCCAGCAACAGATAATTTTGCAGAAAGTTTTTGTTCCGAACTGCGTTGAGTATTGGGTTTATAAATTGTATTCTATGAATTTCGGAGATATAAAGAAATAAAAAAAAAGTTTCTTTTTACTGGAATTGGAAAAAAGGAATCAATTTTTATTACTGACAATGAGCATGATTATATTGATAAAACTTTTTTTTATAAACTTAAAAATTATACTATATTTTATCGGTAAGACTCTACTTAAAAGTATCTTACTAGTAAAACATAGTACAGTTTGTAAACAAAAAATTTATAAATGTTGCTAATACTTTCTTTCCGGTCTCTTCTTTGATAACCCAAACTCGAATAAGGAAGAGATAGAGGCATATGGAGAATGTGGTCAGAACTCCGTAATAGAGTTGACTGGCATCATTGATCACCTAAGATATTTGTCTTCTCTGACACCAATTGTTTGCCTCTCTGTCGTTGTCTGGCATCATTGATCACCTAAGATATTTGTCTAGTACATGCTTGAATTTAGGATAGGGACTTTAATGAATGGACTGAAAGCATCCCTATCATTTCATTATAATAATAATTGAATTTATTTATTTTATGTTGCATGAAATAATTATTTCATACAATAAAATTAAAATAGTAGATCCATCATTTAAAAAAAATAATAAATTTTATTATTTTATCTCTATTGCATGATATAATTATTTATTTATGTAATATGAGATAATTATTTTCCTATAAAAATATGCAAACCCTGGCATGTTTTTCCAGTAATGACACTTATGTATCGTTTGATATAAGAAAAAAAATTATTTATAAGAAAAAAAACATATTCAGTAGTTGTGGCAGAGCCATAAACATATATAGACAAAACAGAAATACAAAAGGGTTTGTTACTACCGACACATACTAACCATACAGTGCATAAAATTGGTTCATAGAGGGTGCTCGTTGCTGAAAGATAACCTTCAATATTGTGCTTACATAATTCTAAGGATGATGATAACGAAGAGGAACCAAGTAGAGCTCAGCTTTTCTTCTCACAGTTGCACCAAAGGACTCTGTCATATCAAATTCTTCATGGTTCATTCCATTGGGAAGTTTCCAATCAAAATGATAAAGCATTTTAGCAAGTGGTATCTCAACATTTGGCATGGCAAATGTCATTCCTGGGCATATCCTCCTTCCAGCACCAAACGGTATGTATTTAAAATCTGTGCCTTTGTAATCAATTGGGCTATCAAGAAATCTCTCAGGTTTGAATTTTTCAGCCTCAATCCAATGCTTGGGGTCTCTTCCAATTGCCCAAAAGTTGACAATGACCTTGGTCTTAGCAGGTATTTGATACCCCATGATCACACAACTCTCACTAGTTTCTCTTGGAATCAACAGTGAAAGAGGTGGGTGCAGCCTCAAGGTTTCTTTGATGACTGAATTTAGATATTTTAGTTGATGAGTGTCTGCCTCATCAACATCTCCTTTGGCACCACATACCCTTCTTACTTCAGCTTGTGCCTCTTGCATAACCTTTGGATTCTTCATAAGTTCTGACATAGCCCACTCTACAGCTGTTGATGATGTCTCACTCCCACCAATGAACATATCCTGTCAATGATGGAATTAGCTCTGATTTGTTCAACAAGAATTAGGCTATTAACAAATGCAGGCACCTTCTAATGCAATGCTACCACCCTTGGAGAAAGGATTAGAGGATCTTCTTTCTAAGAGTTTGCAGCATCTCAATATGAAAATCTCAAGTTACATTTCTACATCTTAAATTATGTATCTGCTTGGCTACAATCAAGGGTTAGAATTACATAGAAAACCATCATTAAGTTCTCTTTCTTGTTTTAATCATAAGTCTTAACACCATGACAGTTGTCAATATTAGTTTTACCTTAAAATAGTCATGGAAACAAAAATTTACTATAAAACTGGGAATTTTCCTCTATGTTGCCATTACCAAGAAAAAAAAGGAATCTTTTCATGTGACATGAGATCATGAGTGAATCTATACAAATACAAATAACGGTGATAAAAAAAAAATGCATTAGGATAAAGAATGACAAAATGATAACTGTTGATTTGTGTTTGAAAGGTTGAGATCCTCTCAGATAACCTCATATCATACCAGAGATCAATTCCAAAAAAGAAAAAAGGGTTTCCTTTAAATTTGCAGCACTAAAGTACTAAATACTGATTTGATAGATTTGGCTCCATCATCAACCAGGAGAATTACTTTGAGAAATTTTTTTAGCATGTCAAGGAAAATAGAAAAAGAAAGCAACCACCCAAATTGAAAATAAAAATCAGACTAACCAGAAGAACAGCTCTGACATTGTCATCAGTCAAGTGCAATCCAAGGTCATTTTGCTTTTGAATTGATAGTAGAACATCAACTAGATCCTCCTCTGATTCATAATGGCTCCTTTGGTTTTCTATGTGTTCCTTGACGATGTTGTCCAGTATCCTATCAATCTCATCCCTTAGCCTTTCTAATTTAGCTCTAATCCTAGTAATATATGGAAGCACTTTGATTGAAGGATAGAGATCAGCAACAGAGAAACCTCCTGCTAGCTTTAATACTGCTTCTATACTTGATATGAATGATTCTTGGTCTTTGCACTTTTTACCAATAATACTTCTAGCTGTTATGGCATTTGTCAATAAGAAAATTTCTTTGCTAAGATTGATAACCGATCCCTCATTTGCTGAGATTGTTCCGATAAGTGCTGACACCTCTTCTTTCCTTATGTAACTGAATGATTGAACTCTTTTAGCACTTAATAGCTCTATGGTACAAATTTTTCTTAGTTGCCTCCAATAAGCTCCATAAGGAGAATAGGCAATGTTTGTTGAATCATAAGAAATAATTTTGGCAGATAGAAGAAAAGGCCTGTTTGAAAAGATGACATCATGTGTTTTCAAAATCTCTTCAGCTATTTCTGGTGAAGAAACTACAACATTTGATAACTCTCCAAGTTGGAGGTGCATCAAGGGTCCATATTTGTTTGCCATGTCTCTTAGTGTGTGATGGGGTAGGGAACCACCAAACTGATGTATGTTCCCTATAAGAGGTAATTTTCTTGGTCCTGGTGGAAAATTTTTGGTGGGTTTCTTGGTATTTGATCTCTTGAATATGTTTAGTATCAAGAATAGGAAGCAAAACAAGATGAGGAGGGAAGTGTAGTTGATCCAAAGCTCCATGATATGAAACAGAAAGCTACGTGGCTAATTTTGTAGAAAGTTTTTGTTCCGAACTGCGTTGAGTATTGGGTTTATAAATAGTAGCGAAAACTTCAAAAATTTCCACAAACTTTTATAGTAATCATTTATTCCTTTTCTAAAATTTTGAATTATTTATCTTTTGACTTGAAATTTTATTATTTTTCTCTCTAAGTAAAGATATAAATAGGTATTTACAAAAAAAAAGAAGAAGATATAAATAGGTTGGGCTAAATTGATTTTTGACTTAAATAGATCAGGCATATGTAAAAACTCATAAATTGGCTTGGCCTTTTAGTCTATGTAGATTTTTTTAAAAGTCTGGACTTGTTCTATTTGACTATTTGTAATAGCTCAAGTCTGACTTAATATAGGCTAGGCCATAGGTCCTTGTAGGCCGGTCTAATCCATTTACACCTCTATCCCTAAGTGATGGGAGCAAGTGATAAAAAAATTTTAAGTTAAGGGTAAGTAATAAAAAGAATTTAAATAAAAACATAAATGATTTAAAATTTTGTGAGGCGAGTAAATAATAATTAAAAAAATTCATAAGAATTTTTTTAAGGGGAAATGTGTTTCTTAGTTATATGAGATAATTTATCTCATGCAACACATATAAAAGTTGAGGGGACCCACTTTTTTTTTCTCTCTTCTTCTTAATGAGTCTCATCCACTTTTTTGAGTGTTGCATAAGATAAATTGTCTCATGCAACATAAAAAAAATCAAACCCTTTTTTTAATTTTTCCCTAAATTGTATCCTATGAATTTCGGAGATATCAAGAAATAAAAACAAAATAAAAGAATTATTACCAAAAAAAAAAAGTTTCTTTTTACTGGAATTGGGAAAGGAATCAATTTTCATTATTAAAAAATGTAAACTAATTGTTTGTCTCTCTGTCGTTGTCTGGCATTATTTATTGCCTAAGATTTTTGTCTGGTTCTTGCTTGACTTTAGGATAGGGACTTTAACGAATGGACTGTAAGCAGCCCTATTATTTCATTATATTAAGAATAGAAAATATTATTCTCATTTTTATTTTTATTTTGGTGAAAAATACTATTCTCATTTTTATATGAGGCAAGTATCTCATTTCAAAAATCTCTCACTTTTTTTTTTTATTATTTAATGGTGAGCCGCATATGGTTTCTCTGTAACATGTGAGAACTATTCTCATGTAAAATAATAGTAGCATTATTTACAAAAAAATAAAATAAAAAAATAATAGTAGCATTTCCCAATAGGAGTGAATCCTCTCATGTGAAAAAATGGTCATGTGGTCACGTTATTTGATCACAACCACTCATCGATAATGAAACAAGAGAGAGAAAAGTGTATGATTTTTAAATGAGTGGTTGTGATCAAATAACATGACCACATGACAATTTTTACACATAAGAACTCCCTATTTAACTGCATTTGGCAGATGAGAATATTTTTTTATCCGAAAATCATGATTTCTGAAAATATAATAGAAAAGTGAGTTTTCCGAAAATGTTATCAAAAAATTATTTGGTAATTAAAAAATAATACCGAGAATATTGGATACATTTCCTAATTCTTGTTAATTTTTTCACCTATTTTTTTTCTATTTTCTCAATAATCCAAGATTGAATTTTTATTCATAATTTACATACAAAATGAATTCCAAAGGTAAATTACTTTCTCAAGTAAATTTTTTGAAATATGATACCAAATATTGTTTTCTTAAAAACCCACCCTCATTTTTTCGGATATCTAAAAAAAGTCCCCTACCAAACATTTCTTGAAAGGCATTTGGAAGAGGAATTTTTTTTTTTTTCTGAAAATTATAATTTTCAAAAATATGTTGGGAAAGTGAATTTCTTAAAAATGTGAAGAAAAAAATATTTAATAGCCAAAATATTACCAAAAATATTGACTTAAATTTGTTAATTATATATTTGGTTTATTGTTAAATATTATAGAAATGTTGGGTGCATTTACAAAAAATAACCTATGGGAGAACCCACCTTCCCTCGGTTTTCTTCACCCAGCTTTGCAAAATTGACCAATATAGTAAAGGCCATAAGTGGAAAACCCAGAACACTTATCAAGCTTAAGAGCATGAAGAACGTCACGACGTGAGTGTGCAAGAAGTTGAAGATCTGAATCCCTAACAATCATACGGCGAAAATGGAGACTCTTGATACAACCAAAATATTGAGAAATCTCTCTGACCCAAAGTGTCATGTGACCTCCCCAAGCGTGAGGTATCAAGTTGAACATTGCAGCTCTTGGCTTCCTCTTCAGCTTTAGCGACTCCCGTCGGAGGCGGTCCAGCATGGTGGAGTAACACAGAGCAATCGTTACGTGACGAGTCAAGCTCTTATCGTTAAACCCTACCTGCCTGATCGGGATATTAAGTCATTAGGTCACTGGTTGGATCTGTTGATCCGAATATATATAAATATATATATATATATATATATATATATATATATATATATATATATATATATGAACATATAAATTTAATTATATTTTTTATATCTAAAATGAATTAAACAAGGTTCACTAAATAAGCTAAAAAACATGAAGCACAAATAAATAAAAATGTACGTTATTACTTATTACTATGTCAATTTAAATTGTAACTCATTATTCCCATAAACATATCTCTCAATGACTTTGAATTCATATTTTTCAAATTCAACTACTTTACAATAAAATATGTCACATTCTCTAATTTATTATTCCGCAAATTGTTTCGGTATTGTAAACTAAAATTTGAGGTCATTGTAGAAGAGTATACTAGCAAATAAAATTACAAAAAGTTTTTAAAATGAGTTCTACATTTTTTTCTGATAAGATAAAACAATTTTGGTTTTTTGAGTTTTTTTTAAATGCATAACCCGACAGGGTCACCGGGTAACCGATTTTGACCAAATTTGGTCGATTTTCTCCAGATTTTGATCGGATTTGACCGAATCGATGCATGATCAGTCCAATATTTGACCCGAACCCATCTAATGACCGGTCGTCAAGTTCCGAGTTGATCCAGCTGGATCGGACCTAGTTGTATAATAGTGTCTTATACTAAATGTGAGTCATTAGAGTTTTCAATATCAATTTTTTTAGAATCTAAAATTTATCGCCTTACTAAAGTATCGCTCCCGGCAAGCTAAATATTTGAAGGGGTTTGTATTTGTCATTTAACATGACACAACAAACTTTCCTACACACACAACATTTTGTGTGGCCCACACTTTTTGAAGAAAAAAGAAAAAGAAAAAAATACGGCACGCAAAACGAATTTCTATAACATTAAACAATCAATTTTCCTACAATATAACTCTTATAAAACCCATATTTGAAACGGGATAACCAGGAATCTTGTACGATTCTCATCTTTGAGGGAGGAAAAATGCTTTTTTTGTGTGTGTAGGATATGCTAATTATAAATTCAAATTTAATCGAGCAAGGTCCCATCTTAATAAAGAATAAGTCAAATGCTTGTACGATTCTCATCTTCGAGGGAGGAAAAATGCTTTTTTTGTGTGTGTAGGATATGCTAATTATAAATTCAAATTTAATCGATGATGGTCCCATCTTAATAAAGAATAAGTCAAATGAGCTTCCCAACAAAAAAAAATACAAGTTAAATGAAAATTGTACGGCGACTCAATTAAATCTTAAGATTTAACTGGTTCAAAACATAATAAATTTAATTCTTAAGTATTGAGATATATAGTTCTACATTAGTTGTATGAGCAACTAATGTGGAGTTTATAAGGTCTTGGACACTCCACCCTTTGAGCTAGCTTTTGGGGTGGTGTATCCCAAGTTCTTTACATGATATCAGAGCTTGAGTGACTATAAGGTCACAAGTTCAATCCTCACCGCCCCCTATTGGGCCTGTGCAATTTCACGCTTCTAGCCCAAAGGGCTCTTGCGTGAGGGGGCATGTTGAGATATATAGTCCCACATTGGTTGTATGAATAACTAATGTAGAGTTTATAAGGTCTTGGACACTCTCACCCATTGAGCTAGTTTTTGGGGTGGTGTATCCTAAATTCGTAAGAGTCACAATTTATAAAAAGGATGAAGACATTAAAATTCAAAATCAAATTAATCGAACGGTTAGGACTTCAGGCACATCTAACAAACAAGAATTATGTAAGTAAAAAAATTCAAAAACTGATTATCTCTTAGTTCATCCTTGACCGTCTATCAATCAACAATAAAATTATGAACTAATTTAATTATAAGTTACTTCTTCTTCCTCTATTCTTTTAATCGATCTCTCTTATATCGCTCCCCTCCCTTCAAATAATATTGTCTCTTCTCGTGATTCGTAATGTATTTTTGTTTGGTTAACAAATTTTTATAGGAAATGGAATCAGATTCCTAATAAGCACTTAGACATTATGGATAGGGGAGGCAAAATCAAGACAATAGACAACATTTTTTTTAAATGTTTTCATTTACAAATAAAATATAATAAAAGTGATGAAAGATAAATTTATGATTATTTCTTATATATTTATTCATTTTAATATGAATTATTTCTCATTAGTTTCAATTCCTTAATTAGTACGTAGCTCAAGGTATTTTTTATTTTAAAAAAATTATAATTAATTGTTTAGTTAATCCATATTCAAATTTGATCTTTAGCACTTGTTTTTTGTTATATTATTATGACCCATCTTAATGTCCTCTTTAATCAACTGGCAAACGGGGTGATATCAGAATGAAGACTTTCTGTTTATATTACACAACTTGGTTTGCATGACTGAACGTGTGGACGAGGAGGGTGATGGTGAAGGAAAGAGCAGAAAAATGAGAGAAAATGGAGGCTATATTTTCCTGGAAAAGGACTTTCACTTATTATTATAATTGAAATAATATTAAATTATAATTATTAAATGAAATGATTTTTCAGTGGAAGGTCGAATTAGTTCTTAAAAAAAATATACAAGGAATTTGTGAAAAGAGAGGGGAACACGGATAAAAAAAATTCTC